TAAGTTATGTTAGTATTGGCGCAAAAATTCTCAAAAAACCGTCATAGTATATATGTTATCGCATACAGTTGTCATATTTAGTGAGGCATAAAGATGTCAAAAAAAACGTCATAGATAATGAATAACCTCAATTGCACACGTATAAATTCATAAATGTCTATATAATAAGCCGCTCATCATGTAATAGGTATGTCATAAGTTGTATAAAGTTATAGTATGGCGCATAAAATGTCAAAAAAACGTCATAGTTTTAGTATGGCAAAAGATTCTCAGAAACAATCAATAAGTGTAATTTGCCAATAAAGTTTTCATAGATATTAGTATGCATAATTAAAATTCTCAAAAACGTCATACGCATAGTATGGGCAATAAATTCAAAAAACATCATAGTATAGTTATTGGCCGCAAAATTCTCGAAAAACCTCAGTATTAAGATGTACCATTAAAGTTGTTCATATCCTTAGTAGTGAGGGCATAAAGATTGTCAAAAAACGTCATAGTATAATATCGGCATTAAATTCTCAAAATTGTCATAAGTATAATATGGCATTTAAAATTTTCTCAAAAACTCATAGTATAGCGTATGTCATAAAAGTTGTCATAGTTTAGTATGGCCAAAAAAATTCTCAGAAAACATCATATATAATGCAAATATGCCATAAAATTGTCAATAGTATGGTAGTGGCATAAAATTCTCAAAAACGTGTTAGTGATTAGTATGGCGCAAAAAAAATCTCAAAAATGTCATAGTATAGTATTGGTCAAACAATGTCAAAAAACGTCATAGTATATGTATGGCGCAATAATTCTCAAAAAAATGTCACAGATATAGTCGTATGGCCCATAAAAAGTGTGTCATAGTATAATGAGGCTTAAAGATGTCAAAAAACATCATAGAATAATATGTACCATAATTCGTCAAAAAATAACGATACTAGTATATTAAGTGCAAAAATTACTGCATAAATAAAAGTTCTCGTAGAGCAAAACGATTATAATAGTATAGGTATGCTCGTAAGTTGGTCCATAGATTATGTGAGGCATATAAAATGTCAAAAAAATCATAGTATACTATGGCAAAAAATTCTCAAAAGTCAATAGTATATTATTGCAAAAAACATTCTCAAGATAGAACCTTCAGTATAGTATGCATAAAGTTGTCATAGTATACGAGGTATTGGCAAAAAATTTCGAAAAAACTACCTCTAAGTATAGTATGCCAATAAAGCTTTCATAGTATAGTGAAGGCATAAAGATGTCAAAAAAACCTTATGGTATAGTATACCATAAAATTGTTATAGTAAAGTAAGGCATAAAAATGTTCAAAAAACGTCATAGTATAGATATGGCAAAAAAATCCACAAAAACGTCATAGTATAGTATTGCAAAAAATTCTCAAAAACATCATAGTATAGTATGCCATAAAACTTGTCATAGTATAGTTAAGCATAAAAATGTCAAAAAAACGTCACAGTATTAGTAACGCATAAAAATGTAAAAAAACGTCATAGTATAGTATGGCATAAAAATGTCGGTTACAGTTGTCAATTAACCTATTGTGCATGTCATGACTGGACATGAAAACCCATGCAGTCACAGGGATATATAATGCAAACTCCAGAAAGAAGGGTGAAGGCTGGGATTCTCACCCTCACAACCTTCGCAATATGAAGCATCAGGTTATGCCATAAAAAATCTTTTGGTATTTTTATTCCATACTATACTATGACGTTTTATGCCTCATATTATACAATGATGTTTTTTGAAGTTTTTATGCCTCACTATATGCCTTACTGTACTATGATGTTTTCATTCAGTACAACATTATTTGACATTTTTATGCCTTACTATACTATGACATTTTTCTAAATTTTTATGCCTTACTATACTATGGCGTTTTTGAGATTTTTATGCCATATTATACTATGACGTTTTTTGACATTTTTATGCCTCAATACACTGTGACACTTTCCTTTCTCTGATGCTGATGCTTCATATTGCGAAGGTTGTGAGTTCAAATCCCAGCCTTCACCCTTTCTTTCTGGAGTTTGCATTATATCCCTGTGACTGCATGGGTTTTCATGTCCAGTGACATGCACAATAGGTTAATTGACAACTGTAACCGACATTTTTATGCCATACTATACTATGACGTTTTTTTACATTTTTATGCCTTACTATACTGTGACGTTTTTTGACATTTTTATGCCTTACTATACTATGACAAGTTTATGGCATACTATACTATGATGTTTTTGAGAATTTTTTGCAATACTATACTATGACGTTTTTGAGATTTTTTTGCCATACTATACTATGACGTTTTTTGACATTTTTATGCCTTACTTTACTATAACAATTTTATGGTATACTATACCATGAGGTTTTTTGACATTTTTATGCCTTACTATACTATGACAACTTTATGGCATACTATACTATGACGTTTTTTGACATTTTTATGCCTTACTTTACTATAACAATTTTATGGTATACTATACCATAAGGTTTTTTGACATCTTTATGCCTCACTATACTATGACAGCTTTATGGCATACTATACTATAAGGTTTTTTGAGAATTTTTTGCCATACTATACTATGACAACTTTATGGCATACTATACTGAGGTTTTTTGAGAATTTTTTGCAATAATATACTATGACGTTTTTGAGAATTTTTTGCCATACTATACTATGATGTTTTTTGACATTTTTATGCCTCACTATTCTATGACAACTTTACGGCATACTATACTATGACGTTTTTGAGAATTTTTTGCCATACTATACTATGATGTTTTTCAGAATTTTTTGCCATAATATACTATGACGTTTTTGAGAATTTTATGCCATATTATTCTATGATGTTTTTTGACATCTTTAAGCCTCATTATACTATGACAACTTTATGGCATACTATACTGTGACATTTTTTGAGAATTTTTTGCCATACTATACTGTGACGTTTTTCGACATTTTTATGCTTCACTATAATATGACAACTTTATGGCATATTATACTATGATGTTTTCTGAGAATTTTTTGCCATACTATACTACAACGTTTTTGAGAATTTTTATGCCATACCATACTATGACAACTTTATGGCATATTATACTATGATGTTTTCTGAGAATTTTTTGCCATACTAAACTATGACAACTTTATGACATACTATACTATGACGTTTTTGAGAATTTAATGCCATATTATACTATGACATTTTTGAGAATTTAATGCCATATTATACTATGACGTTTTTTGACATCTTTATGCCTCACTATAATATGACAACTTTATGGTACATTATACTATGAGGTTTTTTGAGAATTTTGCGCCATACTATACTATGATGTTTTTTGACATTTTTTGCCATACTATGCTATGACGTTTTTGAGAATTTTTATGCCATACTATACTATGAAAACTTTATGGCAAATTACACTATGATGTTTTCTGAGAATTTTTTGCCATACTAAACTATGACGTTTTTTGACATTTTTTGCCATACGTTTTTTGACATCTTCATGCCTCACTATACTATATACGTCAAATATATATACTATATAGTATAGTGAGGCATGAAGATGTCAAAAAACGTCACAGTATAATACATTTTTGAGAATTTAATGCCATATTATACTATGACGTTTTTTGACATCTTTATGCCTCACTATAATATGACAACTTTATGGTACATTATACTATGAGGTTTTTTGAGAATTTTGCGCCATACTATACTATGATGTTTTTTGACATTTTTTGCCATACTATGCTATGACGTTTTTGAGAATTTTTATGCCATACTATACTATGAAAACTT